AGGTGTGATGTGGTGCTGAGAAGAATGTATATTCTGTGGATTTGGGGTGGAGAGTCTGTAAATGTCTATTAGGTTTGCTTGGTCCATGTCTGAGTTCAAGTCCTGGATATCCTTGTTAATTTTCTGTCTGGTTGATCTGTCTAATTATTGACAATGGGGTGTTAAAGTCTCCCACTGTAATTGTGTGGGAGTCTAAGTCTCTTTGTAAGTCATTAAGAACTTGCCTTATGTATCTGGGTGCTCCTGTATTGGGTGTGTATATATTTAGGATTGTTAGCTCTTCTTGTTGCATTGATCCTTTTACCATTATGTAATGTCCTTCTTTGTTTCTTTTGATCTTTCTTGCTTTAAAGTCTAATTTATCAGAGATGAGAATTGCAACTCCTGCTTTTTTTTGGTCTCCACTTGCTTGGTAAATCTTCCTCCATCCCTTTATTTTGGGCCTTTGTGTATCCTTGCATGTGAGATGGGTTTCCTGGATACAGCACACTGATGGGTTTTGTCTTTTTATCCAATTTGCCAGTCTGTGTCTTTTGATTGGGGCATTTAGTCCATTTACATTAGGGTTAATATTGTTATGTGTGAATTTGATACTGCCATTTTGGTGCTAGCTGGCTCTTTTGCCCATTAGTTAATGCAGATTCTTCATTATGTTGATTCTCTTTACCGTTTGGCATGTTTTTGGAGTGGCTGGTGCTGGTTGTTCATTATATGTGTAGAGCCTCTTTCAAGAGCTCTTGTAAAGCAGGCCTGGTGGTGACGAAATCTCTGAGTACTTGCATGTTCACAAAGGATTTTATTTTTCCTTCATTTATGAAGCTTAATTTGTCTGGATAGGAGATTCTGGGTTGAGAGTTTTTTTCTTTAAGGATGTTGAATATTGGCCCCCACCCTCTTCTGGCTTGTAGGGTTTCTTCCGAGAGATCCATTGTGAGTCTGATGGGCTTCCCTTTGTGGGTAACCCGACCTTTCTCTCTGGCTGTCCCTAGTATTTTCTCCTTCATTTCAACCCTGGTGAATCTGATGATTACGTTCCTTCGGGTTGCTCTTCTTGACGAATATCTTTGTGGTGTTCTCTGTATTTCCTGGACTTGAATATTTGCCTGCCTTGCTAGGTTGGGAAATTTTCCTGGATAATATCCTGAAGAGTATTTTCCAGCTTGGATTCATTCTCTTCGTCACATTCAGGTACACCTATCAAAAGTAGATTAGGTCTTTTCACATAGTCCCACATTTCTTGAAGACTTTGTTCATTCCTTTTTACCCTTTTTTCTCTATTCTTGCCTTCCCATTTTATTTCATTGAGTTGATATTCAACTTCTGATATCCTTTCTTCTGCTTGGTCAATTCAGTATCGAAACTTGTGCATGTTTTGCGATGTTCTCGTGTTGTGTTTTTCAGCTCCATCAATTCACGTATATTCCTTTCTATTTTGGTCCATTCTCATTAGCATTTCGTCAAATCTTTTTTCAAGGTTCTTAGTTTCTCTGCATTGGGTTAGAACATGTTCTTTTAGTTCACAGACGTTTCTTCCTACCCACCTTCTGAAGTCTAATTCTGTCATTTCATCACACTCGTTCTCCATCCAACCTTTTTCCCTTGCTGGTGAGGAGTTTTGATTCCTTGTAGGAGGAGAGGTGTTCTAGTTTCGGGTGTTTTCATCCTTTTTGTGCTGGTTTCTTCCCATCTTTATGGATTTATCCACCTGTTGTCTTTGTAGTTGCTGCCTTTTGGATTGGGTCTCTGAGTGGACGTTCTGTTTGTTGATGATGAGGTTATTTCTGTTTCTTAGTTTTCCTTCTAACAGTCTGGCCCCTCTGCTGTAGGTCTCCTGAGGGCCACTCCAGGCCCTGCTTGCCTGGGGATCACCTGCAGCAGCTGCAGAGCAATAAGGGTTGCTACCAGTTTTCTTCTTCTGCTATCTTTGTCCCAGAAGGATACCCGCCAAGTGTCAGTCTGATCTCTCCTTTATGAGGTGGCTCTTTGGATATACGGGGGTCAGGGAGCTGCTTGAGGAGGCAGTCTGTTCTTTATAGGAGCTCAAATGCTGAGCTGTGAGCTCCGTTGTTCATTCAGAGCTGCTGGGCAGGTACATTTAGGTCTGCTGCAGCAGAACTCATAAACCACTTTTTGTTCCCAAGTGCTCTGTTCCAGGGATTTAGGGCTTTATTTATGAGTTCTTTTTTTTTTTTTTTCCTTCAGAGCTGCCCTGCCCAGCAAGGAGGAGCCTAGTCACTGTCTGCCTGTAGAGGCTTTGCTGAGCTGCTGTGGGCTCCACCCAGCTGCCAAGTGAACTTCCCTGCAGTCTTCTTTGTATGGGTGTAGTTAGAACTGCCTCGGCAATGGTGGCCCACCTCTGTATTGGCAGACTCTCTCTGTAATGGCGGGTTGCCTCGTCAATGGTGGGTTGCCTCAGCATTGGCTGACTACCTCCGTAGTGTTGGAGTGCCTAGGTAATGGCGGACACCCCTCCCCCACAGAGCTGGACCGTCCGGGGTTCAGCTGTGCTTGCTGTGAAGCTCTCAATCCAGAGAGTTTCTGATTGCTGTTCTTTTGTGGGGGTGGGACCAGCAGAGCCTGATTGCCTGGCTCCCTGCCTCAGAGCCTTTTTTTTTTTTTTTTTAAGTTGGTGTTCCAGTCACCTGTTGAAGAGGCGCTTGGATCTGTGTGTTTTTCCATGCGGCAACTCACTGCGCTGGCTTAAACAGTGGCACTGAGATTCATGGCGCTTTTTTTGCCCTGGAATCTACTGTCCTGGTTTCCTGTTCAATCCCCTTTTTAACCAGATGAATGGGTGACTTCCTGTGGCTCCAATCGCCAGCCAAAAGGGCACCCAGACCAGTGTATTTTGTACGGAGAACTGCTGTGCCAGAGCGCTGACAAAGCAGCCGAGCGGGGCAAGGCAGCCGCGCTGGCTGACACAGCTTCACTGGCCAAAACAGCTGCCCTGGCAACCCGTGGGGCTCCTCTGCCTGGGAATTTCCTAGTCTGTGGGCAATAAAAATGTGGCGTCCACTCACCCTTTCACTGGGAGCTGCAATCCTGAGCTGTTCCTAAACGGCCATGTTGGATCGATCCCCTGACTTATTTTTCTTGAGAATGTGACAATGATGTATGCTGAGTAGGGTTATTTGGCTTTGTTTCTGGGTGTCTTCAGTGGTGTAGACTCTGTAGATTTTCTTGTATCCAAGGCAAGGGGCCAAAGCTGGGCACTGCTGGGATGTGCAAGCTTGCACTTGAACCCCACAATGGCATGTACAATAGCATGTAAGGGCCAGCCCTTACAGGATTCAGAGAGCAGTCCCCAGGCCTCTGAAGAAACACTTCTTCAAGGAGCAGAGCAACTGCTGCTGTACCAATGACCCCATGAGGCAAATACTGCATTTTAGGTTCCACAGCCTATCAAGGGGTAGCAAGACCCAATTTGCTCTCACACAACCCACGAGGATTCCCTCCCACAGCTGGACACCAGTAGCGAATTGCGACAGTTAGCAAATCCAAATGCAGTTTGCCTTTAGAATGTGAAAATCTTCCAGGCTGCAAAACTTGCTCCCTGGTCAAAACCACTCCTCTCAGACTCAAACCCTGCTGGCCTGGTCCTGCAAGGTGAATGCCCAATTTCATTGCCCACAGCTGAAGCCCATGCTATTCTTGCCTCTCCATTCTGGCCATGAGGATTTCTCTTCCAGTCAAGTTAAGATCACAAGTCCCTGGTTAAACACTCTACAAACCAGTGACTGCCACCAGTATTGGCTGGCAGGTTCCTGTGTAACCCACTATGAGTTAGCATCAGGAGTGACCTCCTTCCACTTGTACTTAAGCCTGGTTGTGCATGTGGGGTACTTCCCAGTGCTCTTCACAGTCTCTTGACTGTTCCCCAAGACTGATCCAGGTTTTGGGTAGCTGAAAAATTTCCCTATGGCCTAGATTGCCTACGTTCCTGGTGGGAATGTGTATTGTGGGGTACTCCCCCTCTATCACATGGAGGGATTGACTCACAGTTTTCCATGTGGACTGCTGTCTGTCTTGTTTTTAGCAGTATCCAAAGTTTTCTTTCACTTTATGGTGAACAATCATGTTTCTTCCTGGATACAAGTTCACAGTGTGAATCTCAACATACGACTTGCTATTTCCAAGTGGGTAAGGATGCTGGCAAAACCATCTATTCTACTAGCTTAGAAAAAAAGTACTCGTCTTTATTTTATTAATGAGAGAACCGAAGTGCATATGTGTTTATAAAACCTATAATCTCAAAATGAATTTTGGGAAGTCATGCTGCCATGGGCAACACAACTTATCTAGCACTTTAGCCTAGTTTCCATTACGCCGCTCATGATTCTGTCTGATTTCTGCCAGGAAAGTTAATGCTGAATCTTTTCTTAAGATGTTCTGCACTACCAGAGGAAATAACCCCAAATAAAGTAAATATACTAGCGTTCTTCCTAAGAACACTGAACCAGGTTTCCATAGGCAGTTAAATTGTTGCTTCTCTAGATGATTGGAGTGAGAGACTCTGGCTATTCTCATAGGTAACTTGTCCCCTGAGATCTTTATGTACATTCAAATCCTTCAATTATTTTTGGTTTCCAGTCATTGGTCTCTAACATCCCAACATGACTCTATTTAACATCATATTAGAGGTTCCACCCTGTGTGTCTACCTTTTGGTGATCACTTATTGATCTCAGTGTAAAAGGTTGTCCATTGTACTAAGTGGCCTTATTTCACACTGGTATATTACTCTGATCCTGCAACAATGGCCAGAGATAAAATGCCCAGCTAAAAATGGGTATGATGATCTTTGCTTAGAGCTCTTTAGCACTTTACAGAGTGTATTTAGAGACTTCTCTTTTTCCTCACAGCAGCAGCCCTGTGTGACAAGTTGGAGAATATTTTTTAATCCTCATCTAATCATTACTTTTCCTTATATCTCCCTTCCTCTAGAGAACTTCAATATTTGTGGCTAGACAGTAAAGAATATTTTCTTTCTTCCTTGAGTAGGACTTGCAATTTGAAGATATCAGCTGAAAGTGTGTTATCTTTCTTGAAGAGCAAGGTAAGTTTCTAGCTCAGTTCTATGATCTTTGTTCAAGGGCAAAAATTTACCCATTGAGTATTCAGAGTCTAGTATCCCAGCTTTTAAAATTTTCATGCTATCATGCTGTTTAGCCACAGTCCAGGTATTACAATAATCTCCATTAATTAGGAAAATGGTGGTTTTATTCAAATAATGGAAGATGGTATTATTCTCATCATTTAAAATTCGTATGCTCAGAGGGCAACAGACATTGGGGCTTATTGAAGGGTGGAGGGTAGGAGGAGGAAGATCAGAAAAAATAACTAATGGGTCCAGGTTTAATACCTGGGTGATGAAATAATCTGTACAACAAACCCCCATGATGCAAATTTACCTACGTAACAAGCCTGCACATGTATCCCTGAACTTAAAAGTAAAAAAAAAAAAAAAAAAAAAAACCTTACACACACAAAAATATGTGTGCTTACAAGAGCACTTAGAAAGTGATGAGCACTCTAAATATTTGTTGAGGCAATGAGTGAATGTATATAAATGAATGAATGAATAAATGAATAAGTCAGTGAATGATCAGTGAGCACATTATAAAATACATTGTCCTGTGTTACTGAAGCACAGTCTCATGGCTAACTTTGCACAAGCTATTCAGAGACTCTTGATGAAAGGTTTTAGACTTTTTAAAATAACGAATCCACATGATTTATATCATGACCCATAATATGTGACCACATGCCTGTGTACACACACACATATATACACGGCAAACTTAAAACTTACGTGCAATCCTATTTTTCACCTACAATGCACCTTTACTCTCTATTTTTTTCTATGCCAAATGAGTTAATATATGAAAAATACATAAAAGAGAATCTGCACATAGTAAGCGCTTTATGTGTTAGAGATCATTCCTAGCAAAAGCCATTATATTTAATTCAGTTTATTCATGCTAGTGTTTTTTTATTCTGTCTTTTCTTGCCTCAGAGAACTTGGAATCTTTTGAATACTACCTGAGACAGAGCTTTTTCTAATGGTATTTATGCATTATTCACGAATTAATTTCCAATTTTAGACTTATATGATTGACTATCTCTTCTTTTCCAGATGCAAGGTAAACTTTTGTGTTCCATATATACATTTAGTAAAATGGGGAATTCATGCAAAAGCAATGGGACAGCTATAGATACTATATTATTTCAGAACAGAAGTAGATGCTTTAAATGTTTTTTCCTAAAAACATATGCTGAGTCCTTATAGTAGAACGATTTATAATCCTTTGGATATATACCCAGTAATGGGATTGCTAAATGTGGCGCATAACACCATGGAATATTACGCAGCCATCAAAAATGATGAGTTTGTGTCCTTTGTAGGGGCATGGATGAACCTGGAAGCCATCATTCTCAGCAAACCGCATGTTCTCACTCATAGGCGGGTGTTGAACAATGAGAACACATGGACACAGGGAGGGGAGCACTACACACTGGGGTCTGTTGGAGGGAAATAGGGGAGGGACAGTGGGGTGTGGGGAGTTGAGGGGAGATGGCAAAGGGAGAAATGCCAGATATAGGTGAGGGGGAGGAAGGCAGCAAATCACACTGCCACGTGTATACCTATGCAACAGTCTTGCATGTTCTTCACATGTACCCCAAAAAACATATGAGAACTTGTTTTTTGAAAATGCAATAAAAAAAAACCATATTCTGAGGCTGGAGTACAGAAATGTCAAAACTTCCATTGATAGTGTATGCAGTGACACTTGTAAAATATCATACTGCTTCCCTAAAGAAGATGAAAAAAGTAAAATAGATAATGCTCTGATTAAGTAGGTGCTAATTTCATCTTATTCACTATCAGGCTTCTGCTGGAAGTGAAACAAACAAAAATAACAGAAGTGTGAATTGACAGCTCTCCAAACTACAAAAAGAACTAAATAAATTAGCAAGATGCAAACAGAATTGTAACCTTCCCCTCATAATCTCATCCTATGACTAGCACATCTATGCTCATTGTAAAGTAGCCAATAGCACATATTTTGATTAGGTTGGAACTCAGTTTCAATTGTTAATCTTGAATATTCTCCACACTGGTTGTATAGTTGTAGAATATCACATAACTTTTCAAATATCCAATCCTTGTAATGGTAAAACAGTAATAATAATAATACTTATCACACACAAACACACACATATCAACATTTATATAAAAAGTTCTTAACATCAGTTGTAGAACATAGTATATTCTAAAAGTGGTTATGTGAGTTTAGTTTGGCAAAAATAATGCTTTTATGGGCAAAACTTATGCAGTGTGGAAAGACAGCAGGCAACAGTAGTTAGCAGATGAATAGTAGTTAGAGGATGAATGCCCTTTCTAATTCAAAACACTATTCATATGCAAGAGCTGATCTAAATAATAATTTTACAACCTACAACTTGCCACCAAAACAGATCTGCAGACTAAAGGAAACCCTCGAATGATGCATTTTCAACTATAAGGGTCTGTATTCAACTAAGAAATGACAAAAATAAAAGATAAGAATGAGTTTAAGAAAAGGAGATTCACGCCTATAATCCTAGCACTTCGGGAGGCTGAGGCGAGCAGATCACGAGGTCAGGAAATCGAGACCATCCTGGCTAACATGGTGAAACCCCATCTCTACTAAACATCAAACAATTAGCTGGTGTGGTGGCACATGCCTGTAGTCCCAGCTACTTTGGAGGCTGAGGCAGGAGAATTGCTTGAACCCAGGAGGCAGAGGTTGCAATGAGCTGAGATCATGCCACTGCACTCCAGCCTGGATGACAGAGTGAGACCATCAAAAAAAAAAAAAAAAAAAAAGAAAATGAGATGCTGCAAAACCAAGCTAAAATGTAAGTTTCAAGGAAGAAATTATACAAAAGAATGGTTCACATGGAATCACTAGAGAAGCCAATTAAGTCAGAATGAGAATTATTGGAAGACACAGAAAATCTCAGTAGCCCCAGTTGTGAGAAAAGACAAATTGAACAGGGGGCTACAAGACTTCAAAATTTACCCACACACAAAGCCCTGCCATCCTCCTTTATGAAACTAACAGAGATCATCATTCCATCCTAATAATAATATTATAGCTAGCTCTCATCAGAATGTGTTGAACATTTAACACTTTGTTCATTGTTTTAAAGTGTATTATTTCATTGAATTTTCAAAATAATGCCTTGAGGTAGGTCTCGTTGATATTTTCATTATGCAGATGAAATAAATCAGGTTTGGGGAAGTTAGTTTGGGATCAATGCCGCCTAGGTAGTAAATGGTAGGACTGATATGCACCACTTCCCAATCCCAAGCTCTATATCTGATGCTGCCTTCCCCTCAGAATTGCCTTTTCTGGTTGTACATTTATCTACTTCTCCAGTTGTCCTGAGACCCTTAATGTGTTAACTCACTGTGAAGCCTGCCTAAGTTTGCACCAACAAAGACAATAAGTAATTGTAAATTGCTTCACATTCAATTTGCTTTAGTTTCAATTTAGATCATTGAACTTGAGAATGACTCTCCTGGGCCCAAAGAGAGGCTTGACTATAATACTTGTGTACATACAAATAAATGACTTAATCTTGTGAGTCTCATAATTTAAATAAATGTAATAACTAATCAACCACATTATATTGTTGAGGGGAATCAATAAATATATATACAAATTGCCTAGAACAGTTCCCAGTATGTGAGCAACATAAATATATATATATATGTTTTACTAGATTAGGAAAAACTAAATTGGCAGAAAAATTAATTGCAGATGAGTCATCTTGTACATATCATTAATTAAATATACCACATATCAGTTTATAAATTTATAAAGTGGCAATATTGGAATATTATTTATAAAGGTCCCCTGGATTCAACAGATTGTAACTCTGTAGATAATGCACTAAATATTGTTGTTAAACCTATGCTTTAGATCAATAGAATTTTGAAGTACAAATCATTGCTCTAATTACATAATGAACATAGTATTTATACATTTCTAAATCTCTTTTTTGTTTATCACTCTATTCCTTTATTTCTCATTACTATAGGACATCTTGCAATTCCCAGATAATACTGATGGAGAATTGTACAGAAGTTACAAAGTTCATTCTTCTAGGACTAACCGATGCCCCAGAACTACAGGTCCCCCTCTTTATCTTGTTTACCCTCATCTACCTCCTCACTCTGTGTGGGAACCTGGGGATGATGCTGCTGATCCTGCTGGAGTCTTGTCTCCACACTCCCATGTACTTCTTTCTCAGTAACCTGTCTCTGGTGAACTTTGGATACTCCTCAGCTGTCACTCCCAAGGTCATGGCTGAGTTCCTTACAGGAGACAAGGTCATCTCCTACAATGCATGTGCTGTTCAGATGTTCCTCTTTGTAGCCTTGGCCACTGTGGAAAATTACTTATTGGCCTCAATGGCCTATGACCGCTATGCAGCAGTGTGCAAACCCCTATATTACACCACCACCATCACAGCCAGTGTATGTGCTTGTCTGGCCCTAGGCTCTTATGTCTGTGGCTTCCTAAATGCCTCATTCCACATTGGGGACATAGTCAGTCTCTCTTTCTGTAAGTCCAATCTGGTACATCACTTTTTCTGTGATGTTCCAGCAGTCATGGCTCTGTCTTCCTCCGATAAACATATTAGTGCGGTGATTCTGGTTTTTATGTCAAGCTTTAATATCTTTTTTGCTCTTTTAGTTATCTTGATCTCCTACCTGTTCATATTCATCACCATCTTGAAGATTCATTCAGCTAAGGGACACCAAAAAGCGTTGTCTACCCGTGCCTCTCACCTCACTGCAGTCTCCATCTTCTATGGGACAGTCATCTTCACGTATTTGCAGCCCAGCTCCAGCCACTCCATGGATGCAGACAAAATGGCATCCGTGTTCTATGCTGTGATCATCCCCATGTAGAACCCTGTGGTTTATAGCCTGAGGAACAGAGAAGTCAAGAATGCATTCAAGAAAGTGTTGAGAAGGCAAAAATTTCTGTAAGATTGGAATTTTAACATTGCTGTATACACAAAAATGTTGTTTCACTGATCTCAGACCTTCCTCATGCAATGAGTTACATTTGAAACACCACAATACATTTGTTTATGAGGTGATATTCTTACCTCTTTAGAAGTCAATTATTTAATAAAAAGAAAACATTCTCAGAAATGTAACACCTGAATGTGGAAGGCTAAAGGGAATTATTAGAATTTTTGGAAGTCACTGATCACACCTTACTAATGACATTTGGTTTATTCACTTGTTCCACTTGCATTTTCTCTATCACATTCCAATGCAAACATACTTGTTAAACAGGAACACCAACAACTCCTCTTGTGGGCACATTCTCATCTTGTCTGAGATCTTAGAGGAAGAGCTTTCAACTCTTTCTCATTCAATACAATGCTGGCTGTGGATTTATTGTATGTTGCCTTTGTTATGTGAAGCTATAGTCCTTCTATTCCTGATTTGTTGAGGTTTTTATCATGAAGCGATGTTGAATTTTGTTGAATTTTTTTTCTGCATCTATTGAAATAATCGTGTTTTTATCCTTTTTTTGCTAATGTGATGTATCACATTTGTTGATTTGCATATGTTAAACTATTTCTGCATCCCTGGAAAAAAAATCCCACTTGATCGTGGTGAATGATCTCTTTAATGTGCTGTTGAATTTTTATTGCTAGCATTTTGTTGAATATTTTTGCATCTACATTCACCATGGATATTGGCCTGTAGCTTTCTTTCTTTCTGAGTCCTTGTGTGGTCTTGGTTTTAGGGTAATTATCACCTCAGAGCATGAATGTGGAAGTGTTCCATTCTTTTCAATTATTTTCTATAGTTTGTGAACAATTATAAAAAAAAACAATTTTTTTTTGGTAGAATTCAGCAGTGAAGCCATGAGGTCCTGCACTATTCTTTGATTGGAGACTTTATTATTTTTTATTTTTTTTATTTTTTGTTATTTATTATTATTTTTTTTTAGACGGAGTTTCACTCTTGTTACCCAGGCTGGAGTGCAATGGCGCAATCTCGGCTCACCGCAACCTCCGCCTCCTGGGTTCAGGCAATTCTCCTGCCTCAGCCTCCTGAGTAGCTGGGATTACAGACATGCGCCACCATGCCCAGCTGATTTTTTGTATTTTCAGTAGAGACGGGGTTTCACTGTGTTGTCCAGGATGGTCTCGATCTCTTGACCTCGTGATCCACCCGCCTCAGCCTCCCAAAGTACTGGGATTACAGGCGTGAACCACCGCGCCTGGCCGATTGGAGACTTTATTACTGATTCAATTTCATTAATCATTGTTGTTCTCTTTAGATATTATATTTTTAAAATTCAACCTTACTAGGTTTTCTATATCCAGGAATGTATCTATTTATTCTAGGTTTTCCAATTTGTTGAAATACAATTGTTTACAGCAGTTTCTTATCATCTTTTACATTTCTTTAGTATCAGTTGTAATGGCTTCTTTTTCATCTCTGATTTTATAGATTTGCTGATTATTCTGATTTGATCATTCCACAGTGTACACATATGTTGAAATATAATTTTGTACCCATTAAATATATACAATTATTGTTTTTCAATTAAAAATAAAATAATAAAAATAATATATGTCGAGACAAATGAAAACAAAAACACAACATACCAAAGCTGATGGGATGTAGCAAAAACATTACTAAGAAGGAAATTTCTGACAATAAATGACTGCATTAAAAGAAGAAAGATTTCAAATAAACAACCTAACTGTACACTTCAAAGAACTAGAACAAATTAAGATAAAAATTAGAAGAAGGAAATAATAAATATGAGAGCAGAAAAAAAGTAAAAAATATAAAAACAATAGAAAAATCAGTGAACATAAGAGTTAGTTTTTTTGAAAAGATAAAATTGGCAAATGCTTAAATAGACTTATTAAGCAAAGGAGAGAAATGATTCAAATTTTTTTAAATGAAAGTTGTGAAATTATAACTGATATCACCAAAGTAAAAAGGATTGTAAGAGACTATTATGAACAATTTTATACCTAGAGACTGAGTAACCAAGAAGAAATGAATAAATTCCTAGAATCATAAAACATACCAAGACTGAATCATGAAAAAACACAAAGTCTGGATAGACAAATAATGGGTAAAGAGATTGAATCAGTAATCAAAAATCTCCCCTGAATTAAATCCCAGAACCAGATGACTCCTCTGGTGAAATTTACCAAACATTTTTGAAAAGAGGAACGGCCAATTATTATCACATTCTTCCAAATAACTAAAGAGAAGAGAACACTTTTAAACTAATTTTATGTGACCAGCATTATTCTCATATTCAAAACAAGAAAAAGGTACCATAAGAAATGGAAACTACAGACAATATTTCTGATGACTGTAGATAAGACATTCTCAATAGGGGATTGTTTCATATTAATCCTTCTTAAGCTTTGTGAGCTTTTTCTAAGTGCAGATTTATGAAATTAATCAAGTTTGGGAAGTTGGAGACCATAATTTTTTAAATATTTCTTCTGAACTTTTTCTTATTTCACCTCTCATTCATGTACTCTACTGTGCTAATGTTGGTATAATTGACAGCATGCAATAAGTCTCAAGTTCTTTTCGTTTTGTCTTCATTCTATTTTTCTTTCTTCTCCTCAGACCAGATTACGTTAATTGACATGTCTAGAAATTTACTCATTTGGCCAGACATGGTGGCTCATTTCTACAATACCAGCACATTGGGTTGCTGAGGCAGATGGATCACTTGAGTGCAGTAATACAAAACCAGCCTGGGCAACATGACAAAAACTTGACTCAAAAAAAAAAAAAAAAGAAGAAGAAAATGTAGCCAGGTGTGTTCATGCATGCCTGGGTCCCCAGCTACTTGGGAGGCTGAGGCAGGAGGATCACTTAGAGCCAAGAGGTGGAGACTGTAGTGATCCATGATCATACCACTGTACTACAGCCTGGGTGACAGCATAAGACTTTGTCTCAAAAAAAAAAGAATGAAGGAAGGAAGGAAGGAAGGAAGAAAGGAAGGAAGGGAGGAAAGGAGGGAGGGAAGGAGGGAGGGAGGGAAGGAGGGAGGGAGGGAGGGAGAGAGGAAGGGAGGGATGGGGGGAAGGAGTTCACTGATTTTTTTCTTCCCTCGTCAAATAATTGTTAGAACTCTCTGGTGATTTTTTTATTTCACTCATTGTACTTTTCAGTTCCAGAAATTCAATCTGGTTTATTTTAGTCAATTGTATTTTAATTGATATTTACTATATATTAAAACACCATTGTCCTAGTTTTCTTTAGTTCCTTGTCAGGTTTTTTCATAATATTTTTGAACCCATTTAAGGCAACTGATTTAAGATTTTTGTCTTCTAGGTATAACATTTGTGCTTCCACAGGACAATTTCTGTTAATTTTTGTTTTCTTGTAAATTGGACATTGTTTCTTGATCCTTCATATATGTCTTATTTTTGGTTGAAAGTTTGACATTTTAAAAATTATGGTAATTCTGGAAGTCAAATTATCTCCCCCTCACACCCCCTGTTTCATTTGTGGTTGCTTGCTCTAGGTGCAGTTGTTTATTAAGTAAGTTTTATTAAAATATTTTAAAAAATGTATTTATTGTCATATGTGGCCTCTGATGTCTCTGTTTCTTTACTTGTGGTCACATAGCAGTTTGACAGATACTTTCTAAAAATGTGATGTGAAGTCACCTTTTTCTTTATTCATCATTCACTTTGTTTCTGTAGATCCTTGACTATTTTCCAGAGTTCAAACCAAGTTGATTGTGCCAGTTTTTGCTTGCCTTTTTAGTGTTTCTGTGGAGTAACAGGCCCTTAAAATATTCTAATCTATCATTTTTCCTGCCCCTGTCTTACAAGGAACTGGTAACTGGATTTAGAACCCACCAAATAATTCAGATTAATCTCCATCTCACTATCCTTAATTTGATCGTAACTGCAAAGCCATTGTCATATAAAGTTTACAGATTCCAGGTATTAGAATCTGATATTTCGGAAGATTGTTATTTAGCATGATACAGATTTGTTTCTCACTTATGCTACTACATGTCTATCAGGCAGGTTGTCTGGCTAAATGAAAAGCTATATGTGGTCACTCAAAGACACCAGCTGATGAAGGTATCACCATCTGTTGCTGCACCTGCTGGAACATTAAGCCTTTTGATTATCATAGCAGGAGACGAAATAACTGGAGAATAGGGTGTATGCTTCAACCAACATTACAATTCTTTTCATAGTTCATTATCTATAACTATTACATGTCCTGCCTTGCTGGAATGGGACACACACATATAGAAAAGCAAGTGGATTTTTCGTGTACTACTATTTTTGTGACCCATCTATGGACTTTTTTAAATTGCATTTTAGGTTTTGGGGTACATGTGAAGAACATGCAAGATTGTTGCATAGGTACACACATGGCAGTGTGATTTGCTGCCTTCCTCTCCTCCACCAATATCTGGCATTTCTCCCCATGCTATCTCTCCCCGCTGCCCCACCTCCTCATCTTTTTAAATAATAAATATTAATATTTATCCCATGGGACATCTGCTATGTGGTAGATAGTGTGCTGTGCTCTATAAATATGTCATGTGAATATCTTCTTGAAATTTTTATGAGAATGACAAGATAGTATTTTCTTCTTCCTTACAGAAGAAGTTTGAAAAGGGTGCATTTCTTACTCAAATTTGAAGTGAAGCAACCTTGGTGCACAGAACAAATGTTTAACTATGATACTTGCTTGTGCTAAGGCAGATGTGATAAGTCTGTTTGGGGGTGTGGTGTGGGCTCAAAAGCAACAGTGCAAAGTGATTAATCTGTGCAAAAGGATGAATATGTCTCCTTTGTTGGAAAAGAAAAGCATTCCTAGACCAGAATTGTGGTGATAAAGTACATAAGTGTTAAGAAGATTTCTAAGGAGATTTCTCAAGATGTCTTAGAGAAAAATAAAAAATGAAAGTAAAATAAAAATTAATTTAAAAAACCATTAAAATATAAAATGCTGATAAAGAAATGAAACAATTTTAATCGACTGCTAGTGGGTATTCAAAATAGTAGAGTATCTTCAGAAAAGATGTTGGCAGTTTCTTATTCAGATAAACCTCTACTCACCATATGACAATTCAATCTGACTTGTCAATATTTATTCAAATGAAATGAAAATTTATGTTCACCTCAGAAGTCTTTTCTTTTTTTTTTTGAGACAGAGTCTCACTCTGTCACCTAGGCTGCAGTGCAGTGGTGCGATCTCAGCTCACTGCAGCCCCCGCCTCCCAGGTTAAAGTGATTTTTCTGCCTCAACCTCCTTACTAACTGGGATTACAGGTGCCTGCCACCATGCTTGGCTAATTTTTGTATTTTTAGTAGATACAGGGCTTCACTGTGTTGGCCAGACTGGTCTCAAACTCCTGACCTCAAGTGATCCACCCACCTTGGCCTCTCAAAGTGCTAGGATTACAGGCATGAGTCAGTGTGCCCGACCCAGAAATCTTTAATGAAAAGTTTAG